CTGACAAGGACTTGGGATATTTGCCCAGGCACAAGATCAGGAAATTAAAAATAAAATATTGGATTTAATAAAAAAAAAAAAAAAAAAAAAAAAAAAAGAGGGAGTGGAGTCTAACGGTAGACAATGTGAAGTGTGTGTGTGTGTGTGTGTGTGTGTGTGTGTGTGTGTGTAATGATGTAATGTGTGTGGTGTCTGTGCATGCCTAGGCAAGGACACAGAGGGACAGTGTCACAGTGGGAATTGATCCAAATCATGTCTAAATGAGTGAAGCCAGACTATTCATTCCCCTATCCACCAGTTAGCCTAGCTCCACACAGCTCGGCTCTCCTTCTCCCTCTGGCTGTTGCTGAGCTGAGCATTGCTTGTTGTATTGGTTGAACTGGTCTATGATGTAACAACTTAAATACTCTGGTGCTTCCTCCTAAAAGGCAGCAGAGTTCCTAAATTACAGGTAAAACTGTCTACACTGTGATTTAGAAAAGTCCAACCATCACACATGGTCTCTTGGTGAATTGCATTATCAGTGGGAGGCCATATGTTTGCTGCTGCAGATTAAAGCAAAGATTGTGTTACACTGACAGAAAGGGATGATTGACCACATTACAGTGGTAGCTAATGCAATAATAATGAGACTTCCTTCAAATCATCAGCCCAACAGCAACAACATCATTGGAGTGTGCAGTTTGGAGGGATTCTAGTGAAGGTGTGTACACTTTAACACAGGAACCTCTCCTGCTGATCAAAGAACTAAAGGTCACAGAGTGGCCTGGGTGGTGAGACTAGTGACTGTAAGCCGAGCCAAAGTGACCAATGGTCATTAATGAAAAGTTATACTGATAAACTCTGAACTATGCTTGCAACATTATTATGTTGCAGGTGATAAAAAACATTTAGTCATTGTAAGCATAAAATACAATACTGCAGATTATGAAAAGAGTTCTGCAAATAGGGAAATCCTAATCCTTTCTTCCTTAGCCCCTGTTCCCGTTGGGTCCCTGATCCTTTGTCATTTTCCTGTGAAGTGGATAGGATGTGGGTTTAGGGGAGGGACAGCAGATCCCTCAAAGTCCAAATTGGCAATGCTTCAGTTAACACTGTGCTCACGAGAACCCTGGTCAGGTCGAACCCTGTGTCAACTTTGAGCCTTTGATCTGGGACACTCCCACTAATCTCTGCCTTCCCAGTGGCGCTGAGAGAGTTAAAATGGATCATCAGGGGAACTATTCTCAGGCCCTGCTTGCCCCTTGCACAACTCTGCTGGGTAGTTTTTAATTTGTGGTCACACTCAGCCAAGTACACAGCAGTCTACGGAGACATTTTGGAAAACAATGCTTATTTACTGGTCTAGCTAGTTTATTAGATAACAGCTGGAGTGACAAAGTAAAACTTTCTTTGTGGAAAATGTTTGTCAGTTACAATGCTGCAGAGTAATTACTGGAGCATTTCAACAACAACCTCAGACAGTAAGTCTGACACACACACACACACACACACACACACACACACACACACACTTTAATCTCTCTCTCAAGGAATCTTTTTCTTCCAGCAACAGCAATGCCAGATCAAGGGTATATTTTGACAACCATTTCATGCTACTAAGATGATAAAAGCACTGGTGTCAACATTTACATCAAGGCAGGGAGTTTGAACATGAATCCATGTGTTCAAACATCTCACCTGTTGTTGTGGAGTTGCTGGAGGAGTTCCACTTGGAGTTGCTCGGCCGCCTGCTGAGGTTCAGATCCAGATGAGTGACAGTCCGCTTGTTGCCATTCTTGTCCATGACCTCTGTGAGGATTTTGGGCTCACCGGCGTTACTGGAGTTGTCTTGTTCGTGGTCCACATCCTGATCTGAGAGCAGTACAATGCGGTGGTTGAGCTGTGGGCTTGCATGCTTGGAGGACAGAGGGGACAGGACTGGGGACATGCTCTGGAGACTGTTGGAGGCAGGGAAAGATGCGTTGAAGACGTCAGCAAGAGAAGGGGAAGTGGGGCTTTTTGTGTGGGATTTGGGATAAGGTTCGGCGGTATGGCATAGGGGCAACCGTAGCCCCTCAGAAAGCTTGTTACATGTCTTCTCTTTACTGACTCCCAGCATGTGGTCTTTGTTTGGTCTTCTCCACTTTCCATGCTCCTGCTGGCAGCTGCTAGTCCCCGGATGTAGCACGGCTGGCCCTGTCGCGTCTGGGCTTGTATGGCTGACATGTTGCACTCTCCCTTCCACATCTTGGACTTTGGCCACCACCCTCACCCCTGTGTTACTCTGTTTGATTTCCCTGTACAGCTGCTGAGCCGACTTGACTGTTGATGCATTCTCGGATAATGTCTCAGCCAAGTAGTCTATCTTCTTAATTGGTCGAAGGTTGCTGCCACTTTCCCGTCTGGTCAGACCCTCCATCAGGCTGCAAAATGAGGACTCATAACCCAGCTCACCATCATACTCTGAGAAGTCGTTACAGAAATCAATGTCAGGGTCAAATGTCTGGTTGTCGTCCATGAAGTCCCAACCCTCGCGAGCGCTCTGGAATGGTTCCTCCATGGGCAGGATGGGATTACTGACTGCACTGACATAAGAGCCGGTGAAAGGGCTGTCAGACGCGTGGACAGAATCCGGGATACCTGGGATCTGCTTCACTACTGAGGATGAAGACATGGACACACTGTTGTGATCAGGACCCTCAATAGATGAAGATCCACTTGTAACTTTCCTCTTCATCTTACCGTGCAGGAAATCCTCAGCACTGTCAAGCTTCTTGCCTCCCAACTTCTTCAGCTTTTTGCTCTTGGATGTAGCTCTCTTTGGCTCTGGAGGCACAGTAAGTGAATAGTTGCTGCTGCTGAGAACCTGACCTCCAAGGTGAACTTCCTGACCCTCCATGTAATCCTGGAGTTTTCCATCCTGGTTACCCATCCTGACTTTGTTGGCGCAAACCCTACAGAGCGATAAGAGATCCGCCAGCAACTGGTGGTGCTCCGCCGCCAGCCAGCAGAGCTCTGCAACTGCTTCCTTTGTTGCCTGCTGGCAGTTGAGGAGTTCGCCTGAGGAGCCGGAATACTGGCCTCTTTGTTCGGACACTGCGAGATCCTCTTTTCCCCAGTCATGATCATTGCCGGCCCTTTCTGAATGAGGGGCGCGGCTCTTGTACTTGAAACTCGGGGCCCGCCTCTTGGGGAAATACAGGCTGATGTTGCTTAGCTCACGGATGGGTGAATATAGGAGCAACACAGTGTGTGTGCCCTCCATTATGGGTGCCATGTTAATCATTCAAGCACTCTGAGTAAGTGGTCAGCCCCCATACAGAGTTATTGGGCTCGGACTGCAGAGGAGGATCTCTGCCTATTCATCACCTGGCCAGTCCAGATACTGTCAGAGAGAAAGCAGCACACAGCTATAAATAAAGATAAACCTCCACTAACATGTTAGTCCCACTAATGACTTTTATGCACTGCTGATGCCAAACTACTTATATTCTTGTGTGAAATCAAGCTTTAGATAAAATATAATGTTTCCATATAGTATGAGTAGAATAGACATTCTCTCACAGCTAGGGCACTACAGACTATTTGAATCCAGTTTTGCACAACAGTGGGTCTACCATATTTCACTGTTAAATCAATTTATTTATAAAAAAAACTAAATAAGGTTGTAATTAAACTAGACAGTAATTATATTATACACTTACCTTCCTAAACCAGTTTTCTCTAAATGCACCTCTTTTTTTTGTATTAATATATGAGTTGATAACTGATAGACATTTCTAAGCCGCATTTCATCAACATTTCACAAGCTGCCGCATAAAACCTGAGAGTGTCAACCAAGGTGACGACACATGCAGAAGCGAATGCTATGGCTGCCATCTGCAATGTTTACAAGCAAAACAAGCACATATTTTACATGTGCTTCGATGGATTCCCTCAGCATTGCGCAACATCTCTTAACTGTTTACATCATAACATAATCCCGTGGGTTACTGTCACCTTGCAACACGCAATTGTGAGATTTAAGATGGCAGCACAATTACACTATCCTGCGGGTTACTTTACTGCTGTCCACTACAACTCAAATCGAATAGTGTTTAGCTTAATGTGTTAGAAATTCAAACTGAACGCATAAAACTCCGCATTAGCCTCGTATCAGCTTCAGTTTGATGTCATGCATTAATTAGAAGCTGAAAGTACGTTAGAGTCAATTGCACCTGCAGCAGGTAAAAGCACAACAGCACTTCGCAAAAGATAAAACAGTTACTTACACGATTTAGTGGCATAGTAAACATTTATATTCACATCTCTTTACTGCAGCCAGCCAGTGCTCACCGCTGCTTCACTCGGTTCGTCCACCGTGACAGACAGGAGCGTGGTCCAATAGGGAAACTCAGCGCCGGCTCACATCTCTTTGATTGGTTCTTTAGCATTTATCCACATCCCACACTTTGAGTCGGTGCAGCTGCTGCTCGCAGGTAGGCCATGTGATGGATCTCAGTCGGTGCAGCGAACAGAGAGGGAAAATTAATTGTTTTTAACTGTCGCAGTATTAGTAGTATTTCCAAGCTAATATTAGCATTCTGTTGTATAAACAGAGAAATAAGTGTATGTGAAAGTTACTGCTCTGCGAAGGCCCGAGGTGGCGTCTATTCTTACTAAACAGAGACATCTAGTGGCTAACATGTGCATCACTCTTACACTAATACTAATTCAACTTTCTAATATATTCATCTCCACCAAGGACATTATGAATGTCCTTCTTTACATACTGTGGAAATCATGATAGATTTAGATTACAGACAAAAACGTTTAAAAGAGGGAAGAAAAATACGTTATATAGATAGTTATATAACGCTTATATAGAGATTTTTGTAGAATTTGGTGGAAAAGTTATGCAGGGAAATTAGGGTTATTAAGGGAGTTGGAATAACAGAGCTTGGCTTAACTTATAGACAAAAATGAGCCACCTTATGGCCAATATCTAGACCCAGAGAGGCCTATACTCCTGTAGTGACGATGCGTGCTTATTGACTTTTACTAATAAAATCATAAATAGGCTATGTATCCATGATGCTATGCAGCTTTCACAAACGCTGGTTGTGTAATTACTTCTATCTATCTATCTATCTATCTATCTATCTATCTATCTATTACAACGTGCATGTTATCATTGGCATGCTTGTTTCAACAGGCTGTTGGGCAGTAAAGAAATTAAGAGCTCATAAAGAAAGGAAGAACAAACCCTTTAATTGAATTTGGTAGAAAGAAGGGTAATAAAGAAGCTCAGGGGAGAAGGTGTTAGGGCACAGCATTGACACTAGAGGGCGGCATCGCATCGTGAAAAGGGAGCAGATGTGTTTATTTAACTTAATTGCAGAGATGAGTGGGCATCATTATGGTTTTGCTGAGGGTCAACTGTGATTCAACTGTGAGTCACCAAAGACCAGACCCATCACTGGTGTCACTGTATTCAGCCCACAGTAGAAGTGAAATGAGCTTGCATTGTCTCCATTAATTTTTTATTGAGTTTAATCTCTCTTAATATAAATAATTGAATGGCTATTCATCCAATTATAATGTTTTAAATAGTTTAACACATGGGCAATTGAATGTCAGTTTTCCAAGCCGGTATTAGTTCTACAGCTTTGGCTCTGTTCATAAAATGGTTAACACACTCAGCTATCCATTAGAAAAAAAAAAGATTTTCTCGTACAATGTAATAGTATATCTGCATCATAGCAAATACAGCGTGTGCAGATTATGTTTTAGGGTAAAATAAAACATTTCCCCCCTGAAAATACTGTAGATTTGTGTTGATATTAGAGGGTGTTTGCCAGTTTGCAAGTCAGATTTCCACTTCAACAGTGGTAATAATACATCCTCTGTATAGAAATACGTGGACAGTATTGCTCAGCTATGCCTAGCTTTTGTCAAAATAAATAAATAAAATCAACAGCCTATAAAATAATATGTTATATAGCCTATAATCGTTTCCAGTGGATAGTAGACGCAGGTCTGCCGTGCTGCTCCTCCCACACAGTCATGTCTGTGTGGTGCTGACCATGGTGCTGATCTGCACCAGCACTGGAGATAGCAGCTAGCTCAAACCATCATGAATTCCCTGCATACAGTAGAATCACGCTGTCGGTTTCCTTTCACATATTAGCGTGTTTTCTGCGTGCTCGTAGCTCGGAGATAGGGCGGGAAAACAAAAGCCCTAGGAGATACCCGTCGGATGGTGATTATTTCAGCGCGTTTAATACTCTTGTGTTTGAATATTCGCGCTTCCACGGTTGTATTAATAAGGTCTGCCGGTGACGTCGCAGATAAAGACCCCGCTGCTGAATCCCGGCTACACGACTCGGCTTCTCCCTGCTTTCCCCGCCACACCGTCCCCAGTTGCTCCTGCCCGCTGATGCTGACACACACTCCTCCTCCGGGCCGTGAGCGGGGCTTGAGCACAGGGGCTTGAGTGACACATGCTGCGGTAGTTTCCCCGCTATATGGCCGTGGATTAGCTATATGCTAATATCGATAGGAGAGAGGAGCCAGCGGAGGCTTCCCGAGTCTGAACAGGCTCCTTTGCAGCCATGGCTGAAGGTGGAGAAGGAGAGGATGAGATTCAGTTCCTCAGAACTGTAAGTACATTTGCCGCCGCTTGTACTTGAAGCGCTGCTCTGGTGACTGTGGAAATACGTGTGGCTCTCTTTTTCATGGTACCTTGTGTGCGGGGTTATGACTGTCGACTGCCTATCACATGGCTTCCTTCACATATGTTATTTAATCCGGTAGCCTTTGATAACCCTCTGCATTCTTGCAGATCTGTGAGGTGGTGATAGTGCCCTATTGTTTTGCGCATCGCTCGCTGACACCTATTGTCTTTTCCTGCAGCCTCTGTCTCAAGAAGTTGACAGCACTATTTCCCATGCCATGTCAAACTTAAATGTGCACCTTGCTGCACCGTGAGAAGCCATAATTGTCTGCAGTTTGGTAGAGGTAGACAGCACAAGCACTGTGATTTAACTTGGTCTTTAAATAACTAAAAAAAAAAGGTTTGTTCTGGCAGCATCACTTAAATCTCTTTGAGGAAAAATGGAGTTGTGAGCCAGTGTGTATGCTGTGTAATATATTCAAACGTGGAATCCTGGCAGTGTAGACTGCATGTCCAGACAGTCACCCCAGGGTTCCTGTGCAGCAGCAAAAGTCTATGCAAATGAATAAAAACAACAAATGAAGACAACATTTTGTAATAAATATAGTGTTACTGCATCTGAGCCAGATTACTAATGCTGTCTTACTTGTTGGACATAAAGCAGAATGTAGACATAAAGAGGATTTTTATTCATCTTAGATTAAACCCGTATATTAATTGCTCTTCTTTCCTCTAGTATTACACCACAGTGAACATATTTCCCTGTTAATACAAATGGTTTTTCTTAAGATGAAATTGAGTGCTCAAGATGGGAAACGTCTGGCAGTGGTTGCAATAAGAGGAACCCATTCCACTGTTGACAAAGATAGATGATGACATGATCTGCTCATCTATGGTAAAATGCATTGAGAGGCATATCATGTCTGAAAATACACACTCGTCTAGAATAGATGAAGGAGCAGAGTGCTGGAGGTCTTCCAGATTGACCCAGAGACAGTAGGAGGTGTATGGTTGCACATATCACTGGCCCTGAGCCTGTGGTATTGCTTTATTAAGCTGATCACAGATGCGCACCCAGCTGTACTTTGAAGTAAATAGAGTAGGGGTGTTCTTGTTTATATTCAAGTTATACTAAACCGGCTTGATTGAGACACATTTTTACAGTAATGCATTAAAGTAAGGTCTCCTAGGGACCAGCCTTATATAACCCAACAAACAACAGTGTCATCATATCAACAGAGATCCAAGCAGATACAATGCAGCTTCATAACACTACCATTAGGTATCAGAGAGGCATAAACAACATGAAGTAAACAATGGATTCTTGATTAAGTCAGTCTTTTTGCGCTGAAAGGTTTGCCTGTCCCCAGGCATGGCAGTGATCTTTAAAATTTCCCTTCCTTTTCACTCAAGAAAAGCTGATACCTCCTCGTACTTGTTTGTCCCGCAGCTTTTAACCACAGCTCACAGAGGTCACCACATCAGCATGCCTGCCACTCCAAAAAAAGAGCTGACATTTCAGCACCACTTCTCCTCTTTTTCTGGGCTTGAACTTAAATGCCACCAATCCGCAATCAGGATTTTTACAAGGCGAGCTTCAGAAGACTTTGTTGTTTTTGCTTGCTTGACTGTTCTGGTCCCATTTGTTGGATTCACAGTGAACATTTTTTCCCCCCAGATGTAACCCAGGGAGAACATGACGTTGACTAATAGGAAGCTGCTGTTGCTTTAAAAAGGGCTTAGCAGCTTGTTGCATCCCCTCCACACATGCAAGTAGCTGTTGGGTGTCGGGATGGGGGCGCAGTGAGCGAGCTTGGTGTTCATGAGTGTAAAAGTGTGTGTATGTGTGTGTGTGTGTGTGTGTGTTGAATGCAAATGCGGAGCTGAAGCTATGTGGTGCAGTCAGGCTGCACCAGACGTGCCACAGCAGAGCACAGTGCAGAAATTATTCATCAGTCCAAGCAAGGCACAGCTGAACTACTCAGTGTGGAGGAACAGAGCGGATACACACACGGCTATGTACACACACACACACACACACACACACACATATATATATAAATATATATACGTAGGCATACATTTATCTAGTACAAGTCAGTCCTGCAGAAACAAATGCTCAATTAGACACACACTTGCCTATCCAAACACATGCATGCATACACACAGCGCTGGCTCCTAACTTGCTTTTACGTCGTAGGTGGCAAACAGGCCGTAAGGATATGTAGAGGCTACATTTCTTGCTGCCATCCAAATGTTGCTTGTTATTGGTGCCAAGGAGCTTGATAAAGCAGTTCACAAACTGCCTTTTCACTAACGACGCAAAGTAATTTCCCTGGAGTGGGAGCAGAAATTACCCCTGCCGGACTGCTGCCTATAAACCCAAACTCAGTGGGAGGAAAAGAAGGGAAGAGAGGGTAGGAGCGAGGAGATCTCAGCCATGGGTAATTTGATGTTATAGGAAGAGGAACGGTGCTGATTGTGAGCCAGGAGACTTAGAGAAAAGCTTCCCCCAAACTGCTATTTAATGTCAAAGGGGGCAAGGGGTTGCGCGGAGAGTTTAATAAGGCTGCGTATTCCACAGGAACTTTATTCGTCCTGTTTGGAAATTGGATATGTCCTCAGATGCACCAGCGCTGGCTTCATTATAAGCAGCGTAGTGAATAAATATATATATATATCAGCTTATGGTTACATAGC